TACATATCCTGTTTTAAACTGAAATGAAATTTTTTTTCTTGTTATTCTTGTTGTATTGCTCTCCACTACCCCTTTGACAAATTGCTATGGCTCTTGTTCTTTCTTCTTATGTACTGATAGTAGGATCGCACTTTCACCTTTAGCTGGAGACCAGTGTGTGTGAGTGTGGCTTTGCGGAAAACCTCTTGATTGGTATTTCAGTGAACGCTGCGCTCGAACTCAACATGCCCAGAGTAGCGCGGTTGCTTGTATGCGTCATTGTGGCGATGCTGGCTCTACACATGCCTCGAGGAGCGCTGGGAACCTCGTTGTCTGGCGAGGAACTTTCAGAGGCATTGCCTGGATCTCCTCAGAAGGCAATCGGTGATACACTGCTGGCATCCATGCTTCAATCGGTTATAGATGGTATCATCGGAAATGCCAGAGTGGACCTCGGTGGCACTATGATGCCGAAGAACTCATCGTGGGTTAAATTGAACGGCTGGATCATCGGCGTGAGTGTGGTGCTCAGCATTTTATTTGTTGTTAGCGTCGCGGCAACAGTGTGTGTCATACGGAACAGGAAGGGTGGAGCATCTTCAAACAGTAGTGGGAGTGGCGAAGAAACTCAAGAAGAAGACGAGAGTGGAACTGAAGAAGAGAGTGAAAGTGATTAGTACACAAGTGGAACAAGGAAAATATATATATATATATATATTCATCGGGCCCACACAATGCGCTGGCAACCGCGGCGTCTCTCGGTGGCAAGCACAATGATCGGCGCTGCCGTGTCTGATGGGCTCTCTCGCTCTCACCTCCTCGGCTTATTGTACGAGCCGCTTGCGATGCTCGCATAGCTTTGTCTTTTCTTCCGATCTTTTTATTATGTTTATTTCATTCTTCTGTGAATCTCAACGAATTTCTACTGTCACTCTCGATGCGGATTGTGCCACGTTCTCCACACGGTGTGGCCCCGCTGTCCTCTTAAATAAATTATGTGAAAAGATACGTGCGCACCCCCCGTGCAGCTCCATTCGTTACTGAAGCTTTGCGCCACGCACGTCGTGCGACTTGATACGTACGTTTCGTTATTTTTCTTTTTTTTTGTGTGTGTGTGTTTAGCCTTGTGTGCATGTGTGCTCCCCATTTATCTGGTTTTCCTTCTGTTAACGAATGCTGTGTGTTGTGTGTTCGTGCTTCTGCCCAGGCATGAAGACGTGCGGCATGTGCGGCAAGCCCCGTCGTTATCCTCATTATCCTCATCCTTGTGCGTTGTAAAGAAAAGAAAAAAAAAGCAAAGAGGACGAAGAACATATACACTGCAAGAAAGGCCTCTTACCAGTCATGAGTTTCTCGGTCAACGCAGAGCCCTTTCCGGTTCAGGTATCATACCAGCTACCAACCGCAAACGAGTGGTTCCGCGCCCACGCCTACGTGGTGGTTGTCCTTGTCCTGGTGGCGTTTTTGTGTGTTGTACTTCTGGGATGCGCGTTATACCGTCGGACACAGAAACGGAGTCCGAGCAACACTCCAGCCCGCTCAAGTACTGTCTACGATAACGCCAGCGACAGCGACAGTGACAGCGACAGCGACGAGGCCACGAGCACCACCGTTTCTTTCTCAACTCGTTGAAGGTGTGTGCGTGGGAGGCGGGTATGAAACCGGACACCGGGAGTGTGGTACATATATCTTGCCTCGGTAAAACTCCACTGCCGTGTGTCGACTTGGCCGGCGTAGGCGTCGGTTTCTCGTTTGGCACTCTGGGAAACACTTGGCGGTCGGGTCTAGCCGCTAAGCTACTCTCTTCTTGTTCTTCTTCTCCGTGTCCTTTGGCAGGAGCAGCGTATACAATGTGCAGTGACAGACAAAGCAAACAGCGGTTGTGTGATATAGCATACATTGTGAAGGCCTGAGTGTTTTTTTTTTGATGTTGTCCCCTTCATTTTTGATTTGTGAATTTGCCCACGTAACACCTTTTTTTGTCCTCCGTGCCGCCCCCCCTCCAAAGAAAGACAGTCTCTTAGTCATGCTTTGTTTCAGCAATCATTGTCGTGCGTCCTTTTCTTCATATCTCCTGCGGTGCTTCACTGCAACTGTCGCGTCTCCGCGTGCATTTTTGTTATGCTCTCTCTCTCTCTCTCCTTTGTTTCTTTTTCGCCTGCGACCGAATACGTTTCGAGTAGCGCCACGGCCACGTTTCCACGGCTGAGAAAATGGAATTGAGCGTCATTGAGACGCCGGTCCCGTTCCCAACACTTCCCTTCGATGTTGTTCCGAAAAATCAGAAGATGGGGATCCAGAAGAATTGGGCCGTGCTGTTCGCGATTTTGCACGTCGTCTTTTTTTTATTCTTCATTTCGATCCTTTTAGCAAAGAGACTGTGCTTTCGGTCATCGGAGAAGAAGTATGGTCCCAGAGACGATGGTTTTTCGGACAACAGCCGCAGCAACTGGGAAAGATAATGCGCCATCCGGGCGTGTGAACATAGTAATCAGGGCGATGAGTATTTTGTTGTGCTGTTGGCTTACGTTTTCTCTTTGTGCATTATATATAGTTTTTAAGGGATGTGGGAGTGTTGGTGAGCAGCAGCAGGTGAGGAGAGTCGACTGGAGAGAACTGATGCAGTCTATATGTGTGTGCTTGTGTGCATGTTTGAGGGTGTTGAATTCCCATCCTGTGTATTTCCTCGTCATATCCCCTTCGCATTCTTGTCCATTTGCTCCCTTTTGCATACAACAGATGCAACCCTTAAATGAAGCACCTGCATTTGATCCTGCCTTTCCCCCAGGTCACCAGGGCTGGTGTGAGGCGTAGTGGCCCTCGAGTTTCCTATGAGCTGGCCTTCTTCTAAAAGCTGAAGAGCCTTGCCGAGTAGAGATGACCCGGTTGTTTTCTCTCTTTCTTTCATAATAATATGTGCCATATTACACCCATTCATTCGACCGATTTTCTCCAGTGCTTCATCTGGGAGGTGTGAAAAGAAAGATATATATATATATATATATACCTTTGAAAGAGAGGCGGATTCATGTTTTGATGTGATTTTCGTGACCGAATCCCCTGCGCGTTTGTCGGGGATCGAGAGGACTTTAGACAAGAAATGCGGCGGGCTATGAGCAATTGAAACGTGGGTATAGTTATGCTATGCTTTTCTTTCTTGTCAACTGACAATATTACAACTGTAAGAGAAACAAGGGAGGGGTCTCATCAAGAAGCAAATATATAATCCACTCTCTTGCCTGTGTGAAAGATGAAGTTGGCCAATATATCTCGGGTTTCAAACTCGATCTGCCGAAAGGTGGTGCAGCACGATTTCTACGATACGGCGGAGCAGGTGGCGGCCGTTGTGCTCCTCAACAGCCCCTCCAATGGTCCGCAGGAGTACGAGGAGTACTTGCGTCTTCTCCTGAGGAAGCGACTCGCGCCAGAGTCACAAGGGCCATCGTCTTCCAGTCATTGCTACTTTGTGTGTGCGGACGGGGCGTATCCACGGCTCCAAGCATACGTTGATGAGCAGCATAAGCATCGACTACACCTGCGCCCCCTCATATCTTTTCCACTCTGTGATGCCGTCATTGGCGACATGGATTCGTATGCGTCCAGCAGCGGTAAGGCTGGCATCAAGTGGCCTCTTTCTTCCTCCTATGATGCGTACGCCACAGTGGATGACATTCCCACCGATGTGCTGAGCGTTGTTCACGAAAGAAGCCGCATCGCTGTTGCGCAGTTCCACACACCGAGTGAGGGCGTGAATGCGTCACCACGGACGAGCCAGGAGAAAGTGTTTGAAAAGCGCAGCGCTCAGCTGTCACTCTCTCCTCTTCATTTGCATGTACGATGCCAAATGACAACTGACTTCATGAAGGCTCTGCTCCTTTTGGGACGACTGCGGAAACAATATCCTGACACTGCCGTTGTCGTTCCGCCACCTGTCTTGCGCTCCCCAAGCGGCATGCAGCTTCTCTCCACAGGTGGAAGTCTTCTCCCAAATGCCAGCAGCGTGGGCTCCGATCTTGACGATGATCGTGAACGCAAAATATGTGAAGAGGCCAGTGGTGTGGAGGCACTGTCACTACCTACTTACCTTGCTATTGGCGGTCTTGGAGGCCGTTTCGACCATGATATGGCTGCTATATCCGTTATGTTGTCTTTTCAGAAAGACGCACACGTTGTGTTAACAGACTCAACCAATACAATATTTGCCTGCCAGCCAGATGGTTGGACGCAAGTGGTGCGGCAACCACATCATGAAGGTGTGATGTGCAGTTTTATTAACTTTGGAAGGATGAAAGAGTGTGAGACAAGTGGACTCCTGTGGAACGTTGTTAATGGGCGTAGGAAGCCGAGCGAAACACGGGACCTGGTGCTGGGCTTTGGAGAACTGATTTCTGCGTGTAATGTGTTCCGCCGGGAGGTCGCCACGATCGATCTCCGCCGTCTCTACCCGAAAAAGGGAAGACAGGCCCCAGCAAAGACAGAGCCGAAAACCGACAAATGTGACGACGAGGAGGAGGAGGAGGAGGAGGAGGAGGACTGCAACCCGCCGACAATCTTCACTATTGAAAGACAGTGCGGGAAACACGGCTAGCAGCCGATTTCTTGTCTTTTTAGGTATCGTTATTAACACTCCACGGGACACAGGCATGGTAAAATTATATTCAAGGCTGCTCTGTCTCATAGTATTTCGTTGTGAGGCAGTCATATAAGTAGCCGTCGCACGTGTTTATAGTGGTGGGGGGCCGGTGTGCCACCTCAACTGCTTTTGTTCTCTCTGAGTTGCTTTGGTGGGCTGTGAAGCATGACGAAATAGCCTCTGCAGCTTTTCATTATGCACTCTCTTGCTCTTTTTTTTTTTGCTTTACTTTCCTGTATATGTTGCACCTGCTTCAGAGGAACCGAAATCATGGCCAAGAAGCACCTGAAGCGTATCTATGCCCCCAAGGACTGGATGCTGAGCAAGCTCACGGGCGTGTTCGCTCCTCGCCCGCGTGCTGGGCCCCACAAGCTGCGCGAGTGCCTGACGCTGCTGATCATCATCCGCAACCGCCTGAAGTACGCGCTCAACGCCGCTGAGGCGCAGATGATCCTCCGCCAGGGCCTCGTGCACGTCGACGGCAAGCCGCGCAAGGACACCAAGTACCCGGCCGGCTTCATGGACGTCGTGGAGATCCCCAAGACGGGCGATCGCTTCCGCATCCTGTACGACGTGAAGGGCCGCTTCGCTCTGGTGAAGGTCAGCGAGGCTGAGGCGAACGTGAAGCTGCTCAAGGTGGAGAACATCTACACCAGCACGGGCCGTGTCCCTGTCGCCGTGACGCACGACGGCCACCGCATCCGTTACCCCGACCCGCGCACGCACCGTGGTGACACTGTGGTGTACAACCTCAAGGAGAAGAAGGTTGTTGACCTCATCAAGACCGGCAACGGCAAGGTGGTGATGGTGACGGGCGGAGCGAACCGTGGCCGTATTGGCGAGATCATGTCGATCGAGCGCCACCCTGGTGCGTTCGACATTGCGCGTCTGAAGGACGCCGCCGGCCACGAGTTCGCCACGCGCGCCTCGAACATCTTCGTGATTGGCAAGGACATGCAGAACATTCCTGTCGTGCTGCCGAAGCAGCAGGGTCTCCGCATCAACGTGATCCAGGAGCGTGAGGAGAAGCTCATCGCTGCTGAGGCGCGCAAGAACGCTCAGGCCCGTGGCGCCCGCAAGACGCGCAAGTAGGTCCACAGCAACTCGCCCGTTTTTTTCTTTCATTCTTTTGTTCATTTCCTTTATGCTGTTTTCTGCGTTATGCGCTCATGACGTTTGTGGTGCCATACACGTTGCCATGATCATTCGCACACCACACTTGTGTTTTTTCCCCCGTGTCTCTCTCTAACTCTCATTATCGTTATGAATCACTCTCTCGTGACTATTGATGAATCCATCAATGATCACAGAGAGAGAAGAATCCATCCTTTGGGACTGACTAGCAAGCAGTGATACTGTGGCCCTTCTGTTATTTACGGCTGTGTCTTGCAACCACTCAGATACGTGATGATTTTCGGATTTTCTACGGTTGGTGAGGTGTACGTCTATGCGACGTGCGTCCTCCTCGGCGTGTCCATGCTGATGCCGGTCAACGCCGTCACCTCAGCGCCGCGGTACATGGTGGAATACTACCGCTACGTGACTGGGGACCCCGAAGCGGAGCCGAACGTCCCTGTCTTCTGGGCAAACATCCTTACTTTCTACAACGTTGTTTCGTTGGTGACGCAGATTATATGTGGCCCAACGGTGCTGACACGAGCTGCGCGCAGCCTCTCCCTTACCACTCGATTCATTCTCGCCATCACGCTTATGATGGTGGAGATTTTTGTGATTGTGGTGATGCCGACGGGACATGTGTCGCAGAATGGCGCCATTACAGCATTCATCATTGTCAGCATTGTGGCGGGCGCCGGTAAGTCGTACTTGGAGGCAACGTGCTACGCATTGGTGAGCTCGATGCCGTCCAAGTTCATGTCGGCGGTGATGTTTGGCTGCGCCTTGTCCGGTGTGATTGCATCCACGATGCAGTGCATCATCAAGGCATCGATGGAGGACACGTATGAGTCAGCCATCACCCAGTCGCACATTTACTTCTCGCTTACGCTGGCTATCATGTTCATCACACTCCTCATGGTTGTCTCGCTGCGCTTCAACATGTATGCCCAGTCGCATGTCGCCGAATTCCGCATGCTGGGGCGCGACGCAGACGATGTGGACTTGGCAGGATCCCGCAGCACGGCGACTGGCAACGCGGAGCCGATCAACGACACCGAAAAGCAGCGTGTTGAGGATCCTCTTGCGACCGGTGAAGATGCCGCAAAAACTACGAATGACACCAACGTCGCCGTGGATGAGTCTCGCATGACCACATCCCAGCAGCTGTTGGCGACTTCGGTTATGCCGGTGGTGAGGCTAATCTATCCCATGCAGATCGCCTGCTTCTGCGTGTTCTTCCTCTCGCTGTTCATATTCCCTAGCCTCATCATTCCCATTGACCGCGACGACAATTGGTTCGCCACCATCGCCATTCTCATGTACAACTGCGGTGATGCCTTAGGCCGCTTTTGTACAACGTTTAGGCGCCTCTGGCCTTCACGGCGCGCCATGTTGTACATGTCTTTTCTCCGCTTCCTCTTCCTGCCGCTGATATTCCTGTGCATCTACGAGTACATCCCTGGCCACGTCCCGCCGTATATCTTCCTGTTCCTGGTTGGGTTGACGAACTACCTCGGTGCACTGACAATGGTGAAGGGGCCCATCACGGATGGGCTGAAGACTGACGGGCAGAGGGTGATGGCGGGGCAGTTGATGGGTATCTCTCTGCTGGGTGGTGCGTCGTTCGCGTCCCTTATTGCTATTGGTA